AGTCAGCGAGTTATACGTCCATTTTGGGTGACTTTATGCAATGGTGGGCATCGTGGGCATGCCCGCCGTGGGCATGCCCGTGGGCCTTGGGCGTTATGGACGGGCACTCGAAAATCCAAATAGCCCAAGGCCCACCGTGGACGGGCCTTGGGCACCTCCTAGGTGCCCATGGACGGGCGATGTCGCAGTCTAATGGTGATAGCTAGGGAGGGTTATAAAGTGTATATAGCTGCCGATGGCTATAACTGGAGCTTCCGAAGCCGCGGGCCACCTAACTTTCAGTTTTGCTGTGTCATTCGCCCGTCTAAGTATATCAATTCCAGCTACTATACCGACCCCTCTACGGATATAACCCAATTACGCTCGCGTATCGAGAGGGATATTGCAATCACGATTAGTCTAGAGCGTAACCGAAGGCGTAAGAAGGTCGCATTAGACGTTTTTAAAAGGTAGTTGGAGATTTCTCTCGATATCCGCGGTCTTTCTTACCCGGTACAGATCTTTGAAACTAATATAGGAGACATCATCCTCGACAAAAGGTAGGCTTCCGCAGAACCCAACCGGACCCGGACCCAACCCGGACCCAACCCGGGTTTGGGTTGGGTCCGGGTCCAAAATCTCAACCCAGCGCTGGGTTCTGGGTTACTACCCTCAACCCGGACCCATACTGGGGCCCCAATTGGGTTACAAATAAGACAAATATACCAAGGAATCCTCACTGCATAATTTATACAATCTCTTATTGTAATTTTGGGTATTTCTCTTGCATCTTATCTATATCAAGAGTATGTAGATTTAGGGTAGGAAGATAATATTTTAGCTAACTAGTGATACTGGAAATTATCATCATCTCGCTGTTTACGCTTCCGTCCTGATAATCGGAGCTGCGTACCATTATCCGGTAGCTTAGGCTCAATCATATCATCTTCAATATCCTCTATCGCCTTATTCTCCTTATCCCCTTTATCTAGCTCTTCAGTATCACTAATTGGGTCTACTTCAACCCCATCGGGTCTCTCATCCTTCTCTTCCTTCGCCACTTCAATTTCGTCTTGTGTAAAAAACTCTTCAAGTCGCTTAGCCTCTTGCTCCTCAAGATCGAATCTTGAAGTACAAAGGAACATCATAAGCTCTTGGATTGTTTCGGACTTCATTCTTCCCCGGCGGTAATGACAGATATCTCGAGCGGTATTAAATAGTCGTTCAACACCAGCGCCTGTTGCTGGTATTGAGAGAATATCCCTTGCAAGAGCTGCAATAGCTGGAAAGCGGTGTTGATTCTCTCTCCAGAAACCAAGAGGCGCAATTTCAATCGTATCTATTAACTAGTTAGTAAAATATTAATATTATTTAGGGTTAACATACCACTATCGAGATATTGTGTTATCTCATCTGTGACTCCCGACAGCTGTCTTCTATTACTATTCAACATCTTATCAAGCTTCGAACTTGGTCGAGGTTGATTATAAGAAGGTTGCGAGTCTTGTATATGAGAAAGCCGATCTTGATATGGTACGAGAGCTTTTTGGAATGCCTGGCGATATTTATCGCGCCACTCTTGATCCCAGTCATCAGTTTGAAAGAATTGAAACTTATTCACAGGCGCAAGCATGGTACATATCGCAAAGATATACCCTCGGATATGATCAGTCTGAGAGTAATATTCGTCAAGCTTTAGTCGACTAGCTTCGAGCGCATCAAGCATCTGTTTCTTCCATAGAACACGCTTCCGTCTGAGCTGCTTCATTGACTGTTCAAGATGCTCAAAAAGCCGGTTGTATATCTTAAAAGTATAATGTGCAGTAATATCCCGAGTCTTTGAGAGTTGTAGAGTATAATCAAAGAATGGCTCCGTGATACAAAGAAGATAGTCAATTTGACGCCACTCTTCGGTATCTGGTAGCAGATCAAGACGAGCATACTCTTCACAAAAAGGGCCAAAAACAGACCGTAGTCTCTTCGCGCGGCGAAGCATTAGGAATGTTGAATTCCACCGGGTCTTCACATCTTGGATTGGGGCAATCTTGACTTTTTGGGGCTGGAGATTGTAAAAACTCTCCCGGCGCTGGGGACTAGCGTTCACATATATTGCAAGGTAACGAATCTTATTCAGCGTAGAAGAAATCCCTCGCTGCTGTTGTTGTGCATTCTGCTGGGCCATTTTAGACTGTTGATCAGTCCACTTTGTCTCTGTAGTCTCATTTTCTGGAACTGCCTTGATGTGTCCAAGAAGCTGGTTCAGGCTAAGTTGGATAACATGGGCAAGACAAGGAATTCGAATAACAATAACACCATCCGGTAAAACCTGTTGAAGGGATTCCATAAGAGTTTTGTTGTTTGATGCATTGTCTGTTGTCAGCCCAAACACCCTATCTTCGATTCCATGTTCTGTGAGGGTCTCTATCAGCGCACTACTTAGGTTTGCACCAGTATGCGCCCCATAAATAGGCTTGAAGTCTAGTAGCACCTCTCGATATACCCAGTCGCTATCAATGAAATAGCCAGTGATTGCCATAAACGCCTGTGAGAAGGGAGAGGTCCAGCAATCAAGGGCAATAGATATCTTTGAGTGAGATGGAAGCATCTGAAGCACACTCTGTTGCCGACTCTTAACTGTGCTTGATAGCCGACGACGAATTGTATCAGCAGAGGGGATAAACGGGGTGGATAGAGAGGTGCGAGCCATTTGAATTAGGCTCTGAAACGTTGGGTGCTCGATAAGTTGAAATGGGAGTCGATTAAGAGATAAGAAGGATAAAATCTCTTCCTCCCAGGCCTCTTGTGAGAAAGGAGCCTCGGTCGGAGTATCATCCTAAAAAAATTTAGTAAGGAGAATAAAAGATTAAGTTATAATAGAACATACAGCTTTGCTGAGGAATCTTGTGATCTCTAGCTTTGATCCACCCTTAGCCTTTCGACACCCTGCGCTCTTGATATGTTTTGACATTGTTGATGTGCCATGATATTGTGCTTTCCGGTCGCCCGTTGGATGAGGATGGATAGTGTAAGGATGCTCAAGAATCTGGCCGCAATTCTTACACATAACCTTTGGTGCCCCATCGATACTATTTGCAACCTGGTTAAACCTACCCCAAACATCAGACTGGTGGTTTGAGTCCCAATGGATCTTGCTCTTCCTTCCAAAATCAGTCTGTAACCACCAGTCGACCCATTCGGTATGAGTCATTTTGTCATAAAGAACAAATGCCTTTCTCCGATCGGGACCAACACGTAGAAGTGAGGTAGGAGGTATAAGGGGAATAATCGGACGAAGGAATTCGGAGTCAATAGAGTCGAGATCGAACGTCTGCTGGCTAGTGGATGGTTCAGGGGTACCAAGTCGGTTTGAAGGGGTAAGATAACCAAGATTGTCTATATCTCCATCATAAATCGAGGATGTCAAATTAGATTGCTGGCTCTGGGACATAATAGGCGAAATAAATAAATGATCAATTACGAGGGGAAGAATAAGAGAAGGGATTTACTTACAAAGGGCAGAAGACGTATTACCCTAGCTGTGAATAGAGAGCTGAACGATCAAGTCGTCGTTTATCAAAAGTACCTACTTCACTAGCATTTAATTGGTATATATTATAGGTTTAAGTGGGTTAGAGCCAGCATAACCCAGCAAAACCCAGCCAAAACCCAGCCAAACCCAGCCAAACCCAGCCAAACCCAGCAAAACCCAGCAAAACCCAGCAAAACCCAGCAAAACCCAGCAAAACCCAGCAAAACCCAGCAAAACCCAGCAATTATAACGGGCTAATGCCGGTACTAAGGCTCAGGCTCTACCCGCGCTTACTGCTAGATCCCCTCAGCCAGAGTTTCTAACCGCGGTCAGAAACTAGGAGTATTAGTACTCGGGCTCTACCCGCGCTCACTGTAAGATCCCCTCAGCTAGAGTTTCTGACCGCGGTTAGAAAGTATAGTAGAATAAGGCTTTAATCGTATAATTAATTTTCTGACCGCGGTCAGAGATAGTAGTAGTCGAAAGGAGATCTCAACGTGTAAGGATAGAGTGACTACTTTACACTGTATTCAAAATATATTTCTACAACTTCAACCATGTCAGCAAACCTAAATTATCAAATACCACTACAACCATGATTATCTTTAATTTTTATTGGTAATAAACTAATATCTGGCCAATATAAAATGATATAAGTGTCTATTTAGTTTAGTCATATAAAGTTGATGTCGAATAAGTGAGTTCATATGGGTTCGATCTAAAACACAAAAAAATACGAAGATTACATGTTGATTATTTAGCAACTTTATGAACGCCAAGAGTTTGTTTTTATGCAAAGTTGGGTTTTACTGGGGCCCCATTGGGGGCCCAGCGCTGGGTCCGGGTTGGGTCCGGGTTCGCTGACTTCGACCCGGACCCAGGCTGGGTCCGGGTCCGGGTCCGATATCTCGACCCAAACCCGGGTTGTGCGATAGACTAGTCCAACCTGGAGTCCGCTATTTTTGTCCCCAAATGATATCGACGTCATGAAGAAGTACTGTACAGTAAATTGTCTCGTGTGTGGTTCAAGATCAGTATTATTGCTGGATTGCCACAAGCTGAAAGAGGGGCACTCCTCAGCCTCATCGTCATGTGACTCCAAATCGCTAAGCTAAGAAATACCTACGCCTCTGCCTCATTCGCAGGACCAACGTTAAGGTTGATACCGCCAACAATTAACGCAGGGAACAGGCCCTAACCGGAAGGTCCGACATCCATTGGGAAGATAAAGCTGAAACAATGTTGACCTCATTAAACGGCGGACGAAATCTACTCACAATAGTGACATCCGTTATAATATCCGATGATGTCCTCTGTACAGTGTTGGCAAACCCTTTAGAACGGCCTTGCCTACTATATTATGGCAGTGCCACCGCTGAAAGAAATCTAAGCTCATTCAGAACTCATACGCTACTCATACAAGGAGTAAATGCAATATGCCATACTGTACCACTATGGGTTGTTCGAAATCACAATATATAAAATATTCAGACTAAAGGAAAATGTCGCTGCAAGTCGCTTCTCTCCGCCGTTTCACCCAAAGGCCAATGTCACGAACGAACCGCCGGGCGGCACCTACTTTCACGCCGTGCTTGACAAAGAAACCTGGGTCCTGATCCTCATAAATCTGCATGAGGTCGAGACAGTTTTCGAGGGTCACATCGCGTGCTTTGTTGATGTTTTCCCTGAAAGTCTCGTTGCTCACCCGCGATTGCTGCCATTCAGTATATTCCTCCACGGCGATATCTAACAGGCCGTCAACCATGATAAATTCAGTACAGTCGGGCGCGGTAGGTATGGCGTCGTTAGCAGGAGGATGTATCGATTGCTGAGGTGATCCAGCCGGGAGGACATTGATATTGATAGGAGGACACATTGACCCCATTGTAGAGTTCTCTGTGGGTCTCTTTTTTTGTCCAATCGTTGATTCTCCTCGGCATAAAGCTGCTCGCGAACACTGTTAGGGACATCAGCGTGGGTCGTTCGTGTTGGCACCGTGGGAGACTCGCATACAGAGCGATGGTGAAGCAATGCCGCACTCGCACATCGTACCGGGCGGATCATTGCAAGTTGCGGTCAGCAGTTCAGCACGAAACGGCCTCGTAGGTTTTGGGGTGGCGATCAAGAAACAGCCACCTCGATATCGGAAGCTGAAACTGAAGACCTTTTCCACGACACTAGGCCCAAGATTAGAGCAAAATCCGTTCTCCGCGGAGCTAGCAGCACTGGCACACACATTGAAAATGCTAGTGGGACTGAAAGACTACAGGATCACGCTGCTCACGAGCAACAAAGCAGCGGCCCTCACGATGAGGAATCCTCGGCAACAGTCGGGCCAGGAGTTCGTCTGCCAATCGTACAAGTTGATGAAAAGGCTGCGGAGAAACGGAAACCACATCAATATCCTATGGGTCCCTACCAGCGCGGACAATAAACTGCTAGGTCTGGCCAAAGGGCAAGCCAGGACCGCGACCCAGAAGGATGCCGCCCTGCAAAAACCTGCCCCCAGAATGAAGTCGACAACGCTGAAGATCGCTCGGTCTCATGCGGCTCCCAGCAATAACTTGCCGGAGAACGTAGGAAGACACGTGAAAAGAGTAGATGCAGCACTGCCAGGAAAGCACACTCGACAGCTGTATGATCGATTGACGTGGAAGGAAGCGAGCGTACTGGCCCAACTCCGGACTGGCATGGCCAGACTCAATAGCTATCTCTGTCGGATCAACGTGGCAGACACGAATCAGTGTGCATGTGGACAAGCGAGTGAGACCGTGGAACACTTCCTCTTCCGATGTCGGAAGTGGACCACACAACGAATAGCACTGCTGCAATGTAGCCAAACTCACCGAGGAAATCTCTCCTTCTTTCTGGGCGGGAAATCGCCTTCTGATAATCCGCATTGGACGCCGAACTTGGAAGCTGTGCGAGCCTCAATACGATTCGCGATCGCAACGGGCCGACTCGACGCCACCTAATCACGTTAACCAACACAACGACACGACACCCCCCCCTCTTCACCAACCCACACCTACCACCTTGTGCCACAAATGGTGGACGTGCTTCAACTGCCGAAGATAGGATGTTGAACACTTGAAGAAGCGCCTTCAAGCCAGTCTACTAACCAACTTACTAACCCACAAGGATCTCTATGATATTGACAGCTGAGAGGACATATACTGCAAGGATCCATGTATGGGCTCGAAGGAGACACAGCAGATGTATATTAGGACGTGTATTGATAGATCAGTTTTAGTTGCCCTTTCGGCTTAGCCGCCGGGCGTTAATGAATTGTGTGTGTGTGTGTGTACACCCCGGAATATACGATCTGCCTGGTCGAAGAGCGGCCTCTTTCCCTTCGATCCGTCTCGCGTCCTACGAGAGCAAGCGCCCCAACTCGAGATACAGACCATGGTCCCAGTGGACCCCTCAACCGTATCCTTTCACCTCTGTCACACTCCAAACACTTCTGATCATTTCGCTTTGCTTTGCAGCGAGGTGGAAAAAGACACCCAGAATCTAGATGAAACGTGCAAACATCGTCTGCAGACATTGAGCCGCGCGGCCGAAAAGGTCTTTGCCGAACGCGCCTTATTGCTGGAGGAGAACCTCATCCTGTTTGAGCAGAACAACGAAAAGACCTGTCGACAATCCGCTGGTCAAACGGTCGTAGGACATGCAAAAGTCATGAGCTATGAAGATATCGTTGAGGGCGCAGAAGAAACGCTACATGACGGCGGCGAAACAAAACCTCACGCGGAAAAAGAGATCGAAAGCCGGGGGCGGTCGGTTACCGAATCGGAGGAGAAGCGCAAGGCTGAGCAGGAGATCCAAGCGTGAACCTACGTGATTATTGTTCGGTTTTGGATTTATAGACTCATTCTGGATGTTAGAATTCTCCATAATTCAATCAACCATTTTGCGGAAGTGAGTTAAAGGTTCCACGGCTGGCGTTCGTATCGTATATATCTCTCCCTACTCGCATGTCGTTATCTACTCCGTACAATTAATTACCTCTAGCCCGACCCTATCAAAAAAATTCATGAAATTTCAAAAATCCACCACACTTTAATTACGTCTCGTACGTTTCTGAAATTCAGAATATAAAGATATCTAATACTAACTTAGAACTTCCTAAAATCCTACCTTCGTACGAAGCCTAGAAGTAATTCCACATTACTTACCACTTTTATCCCCTATACTTAAGGAAAAAACCCCAATTCCACCCTAAGTTAGTAGGATGTAATTACTCCTATATGGCAAGATAGGACTATCTTAATTATATTCCCGCTGGGGCATGGCGAGAGAGAATACATTAATTAGGGTTGGGTGTTCGGGACGGGCGGGAATTATCCACTTCTCTCAACAATGCCATATATTCCTACTGCTTTATATCTTGCAGAGCCCTACATAACACTAGTAGAAAAGGTAAATGAAGACGTGTGTCAGACAAGATCGTCACTCATCGCTGGAAGCCCTTTCTGTGGAGTAGTACCATGGCTTTCTTATGTTGTAATTAAGTAAAAACGCATCGGAGGTGAAGGAAGGTGTATTATTAGCCCTGTCAATTGGGAAGACCAAGTAAATAAATCGAAAAAAAGAAAACCTAAAATTGGACTTTCGAATAATCTAAGTGGCCCCTTGCTAGCGCTATGGGCTTCAATCCCTCCCTCTGCCGTTTTGTGCCCACCATATATGTAAACTTGCATTCTTCCCTCTCCCTTCACTATTCACCATTACTCATGATTATACTATCAACAACCTGAATTCCTTATTTCAAATCCATTTTATATTTCAGATAAGACTCATCCTCCGATCGAGACATCTCGAAGAACCAGACCCGGAGTTATCCGACTGTACCGTCCTAAGAGCCCACCCTGTAATTTCCGGAGTTTTGGCCTATTTCATTCATCTGAATAATCCGAACCAATCAAACGCATCCAGTAACCTCCCAGGGTACACCCTCCCGAATCTCCGTTCTCGGATTTTCGGACTTCGGAAATGTGCAACCGTTTTTCGGGGCAGGCTCTCTGTGGTCGCTCGGTCTTGTTTCTCTGCTTTTCGCTGTGATATTTCCACGTCGAACTTCCGGCCGGGAAAACCCCCGGTCTAATTACGAACGTAGCTAGAGGTAACCCGTTATTGTCAAACTACGCTCTTCTTGCTCATCTTGGCTGCGTGAGCTCACCAATTAAGTTCGAGTAGATGCCATTACCAGAGTCACCATCACCAGAACGGCCGCTTGTACAGTCATACCCTATGATGCCACTCTCTTTCAAGACTGAAGTTCAGATTTTGGAAGAATACGAATTGATCATCAAACCTCAGTCTGACTCTATACATAAACAAGCATCCGATATAAACAGTCTTCAGTCCAAGCCGCGCGGTGAAAGCAAATAGCCAGTGCGCCGCGGCACTCCACCTGAGCCTCCGCGCCCAATACCGTCTATCATTCAAAGTCCTTTGACCTACGGCTTAGCTTTCTCAAGAGGTCGGTTTCAAGTGTCCAGCCGGGAGAGCATCTCTCAATCATGGCAAAAGCAGGCCTTATGACTGATGTCACTCAAAAATTGTTTGCGGAGCTAAAGTCGACGAAGGAGGAGACTCGAGTCCGAGCTGCCTGTGAGCTCTATGACCTCATGCTTTTGGTTTCGAGAGGTATGGGAAGGGGCAATTACCCCGAGAACTCTGATCTGTGCTGATATTTTCATTCTTCAGATTCGCCTTCGGAGGAATTTGTTGAGTTTTACAACGCCGTCAGCCAACGCATCGCCCATCTGGTGGTGACGGGCAAGGAAGCGAATGAGCGAATCGGTGGAATCCTAGCCCTCGACCGATTGATCGATTTGGATGGTGTCGACGTCGCTCAGAAAATAACACGATTCGCGGGCTATCTCCGCAGTGCACTTCGAAGTAATGAAGATGTCGTACTGGTATACGCAGCCAGGTCGTTGGGGCGTCTAACAAAGTCTGGCGGTGCTCTTACTGCAGAGCTGGTGGAAAGCGAGATTCAATCAGCTTTGGAATGGCTTCCATCAGAGCGACAAGAAAGTCGGCGGTTTGCCGCCGTGCTCGTCATCCGGGAGCTTGCCAAGGTTTCTCCGACACTCTTGTACGGATTTGTGACACGGATTTTCGAGCTCGCTTGGGTTGTGCTACGGGATCCAAATGCTCTGATCCGATCCACTGCCGCGGAGGCTGTGGGCGAGTGCTTTGAGATCATTGTTGCCCGTGATGCGCAATTCGGACAGTCCTAGCTCGCTAGATTTTATGATGAAGCCCTACTGGGCCTGAAATCTCATAATGTGGATTGTATTCACGGATCGCTTCTCATACTGAAGGAATTCGTGCTCAAGGGTACCGTCTTCATGAGAGAGCACTACCATAGTGCTTGTGAGATTATCCTACGTTTTAAGGACCACCGAGATCCCATAATTCGTGCTCAAGTCGTCCTCACCATCCCTATCCTCGCATGCTACGCACCCAATGATTTTGCTGAGGTCTACCTACATAGATTTATGATATACCTGCAAGCGCAACTCAAGAGAGACAAAGAGCGAAACTCGGCCTTCATTGCGATCGGCAAAATTGCAAATGCAGTTGGTCTCGCCATTGCCCCATATCTAGACGGAATACTTGTCCATATTCGTGAAGGGCTTTCGATGAAGGCGAGAAATCGAGGAAGTTTCAAGGAAGAGCCAATTTTGGAGTGCATTTGCATGTTGTCGTTGGCAATGGGTCAAACATTTAGCAGATACATCGAAGCTCTTCTAGATCCCATCTTTGCTTGTGGCCTCAGCAAATCATTAACTCAGGCTCTGGGGAACATTGCTCACTATATTCCTTCTACCAAGCCTATGATACAAAAGAAACTCATTGATATGCTGAGCATCATCTTGTGCGGCGCCCCATTCCGGCCGCTGGGATGCCCCGAGCATCGTTTACTCCCCATGCCCTCATTCGCAAAAGTTTTAGGGGCCCTTGGTTCTCGCACCGCCTCCGAACTCACTCTGGCTCTTCACACCCTTGGCAGCTTCGAATTTTCGGACCAAATTCTGAATGAGTTTGTACGCGATGTTGTTGTCAAATATATCCAGCACGATAACCCCGAGATTCGGAAAGCATCGGCGCTCACTTGCCGCCAACTATCATTTCATGATCCGATCATAAATCAAAATAGTGGCCATTCCACCAAAGTTGTCAGCGAAGTCATTGATAAACTTCTAACCATTGGCGTTGGTGATCCTGATCCCGAGAATCGGTGCACTGTTTTGAGGTCATTGGACCGCAAGTTCGACCATCACCTGGCAAAACCTGAGAATATTCGATGCTTGTTTCTGGCTGTCAATGATGAAGTCTTCCATGTGAAAGAGGCCGCCATCTGTATTATCAGTCGTCTTGCCAGTGTGAACCCTGCCTATGTATTCCCGCCATTGCGGAAATTGCTTGTTAATCTTCTTACTGGACTTGAGCTTGCGAAAACTGCTCGCCAGAAGGAAGAGACCACACAACTGATCAGCTTGTTTGTGTCCAATGCAACTCGGCTGATTCTTTCTTACGTGGACGCTATGGCAACAGCACTATTACCGAAATTAACGGACGCTAACCCCAGAGTCGCTGCCGTTACATTCAAAGCTGTCGGTGAGCTTGCAAATGTGGGTGGCGCAAAGATGACGGAATATCTTTCCCAGATTGTGCCCAGAATTTTGGATTCGCTCCGGGATTTTTCCTCTGTTATCAGACGCGAAGCTGCACTGAAGACGCTGGGTCAGTTAGCGAGCAATTGCGGCTATGTCATAGAGCCCTACCTTGAATATCCTCACCTTCATGGTGTATTGATCAACATAATCAAGACCGAACCAATGGGCACCCTGAGAAAGGAAACTATCAAAATTTTTGGTGTTCTAGGGGCTTTGGACACCTACAAGTACGAGCAAATCAGCAACACCGAGCCTGATGTCCATCATATCAATGAGATCAAAACTGTCTCCGATGAAGCTTCCATCACGCAAGGCCTGACGCCATCCAACGAAGATTATTACCCCACAGTGGTCATTCATACTCTGCTGCAAAACATTTTGCGCGAGAACTCCTTGGTCCAATACCACTATGCCGTCATCGATGCTATCGTTACCATCTTCAAGACCCTCGGTCTTAAATGTATTTCATTTCTCCGGCAAATAATCCCGGCCTTTATCTCGGTTATCAGAAGTTCTCCGCCTAGCTGCTTGGAGTATTACTTCAACCAAATGGCTATTCTCGTCAAAATCGTGCGACAGCATATCCGTGTATACCTCCCAGATATAATTGACGTTATTCGCGAGTTCTGGGATACTTCCTATCAACTCCAGGGTACACTCTTGTCGCTTGTCGAGGCTATCGCTAGATCCCTAGAAGGAGAATTCAGGAAATTCCTCGCTAGATTGATCCCCTCGATGCTCGATACGTTGGAAAAGGACACAACGCCCCACCGTTCACCATCGGAGAAGGTGCTCCACGCTTTCCTGGTTTTTGGTTCGACCGGCGAGGAATATATGCACCTGATCATACCTTCCATTGTAAGAATTTTTGATCGACCCTAAAACCCGCAGAGTCTTCGCAAGTCTGCTATCAAGAGCTTGGACAAGCTTTCGCGTCAAGTGAATATCTCCGATTTCGCATCCCTCACGGTGCATGCTCTATCACGAGTAGTTGCCAGTGGAGACAGTGTTTTACGGAAAGCTGCCCTGGACTGTATATGCGCCTTGATCTTCCAACTCGGTCAGGAATTTACACATTATATCCATCTTTTCCACAAGCCTCTCAAAAAATATCAAATTACGCATGTCAATTACGAAATCCTAGTCACAAAACTTGAAAGGGGAAACCCTCTTCCTCAAGACCTCTACCCCGAAGAGCATTACGCATATCCCGCCGATGACCCTGTTTTGGCGGAGGCTGGCCAAAAAATTTTTTCTGTGAACCAGCAGCATCTCAAGAATGCCTGGGATGTTTCCCAAAAATCTACGCGCGAGGATTGGCAGGAGTGGATACGTCGTTTCGGACTTGAGCTTCTTAAACAATCCCCATCTCCCGCCCTGCGTGCATGTGCTAGCTTGGCTGGAATCTATCAGCCACTGGCAACGTATCTTTTTAATGCTGCCTTTCTGTCTTGCTGGATGGAGCTGTATGATCAGTACCGAGATGAACTGGCTCATTCAATCGAAAAAGCTCTCATATCTCCAAACATTTCGATGGAGATCCTTCAAGTCCTTCTCCACCTTGCCGAGTTTATGGAACACGATGATAAGGCTCTTCCGATTGATATCCGCACACTAGGTAAATATGCTGCAAAATGTCATGCTTTCGCCAAAGCACTTCACTACAAGGAGCTTGAGTTTGAGCAGGAGCAGAACTCGGGAGCAGTTGAAGCTTTGATTACTATAAACAGCCAGTTACAGCAATCAGACGCTGCTATCGGCATTTTGCGTAAAGCACAAGCATACCTGGATGTGGAGTCTAAGGGAACCTGGTTTGAGAAACTTCAACGATGGGATGAGGCTCTCGTTGCGTACAAGCGTCGCGAGAAGGTAGGCCCCGACTGTTTTGGCATCACAATGGGTAAAATGCGCTGTCTACACGCCCTGGGAGAGTGGGAGGTTCTGTCAGATTTGACTCGAGAGAAATGGAATCAAGCATCTCTTCAGCACCGTCGAGGCATTGCTCCTCTGGCTGCCGCTGCCGCCTGGGGCTGTGGACAGTGGGAGCTGATGGATTCGTACCTTGGCTTGATGAAGGAGCAGTTCCCAGATCGATCTTTCTTCAGTGCCATTCTTGCCATTCACCGCAACCAGTTCGAGCAGGCCCATATGTACATTGAAAAGGCACGCGATGGACTTGACACTGAATTGTCTGCGCTTCTGGGAGAGGGTTACAGCCGAGCCTACAATGTGGTTGTGCGGGTCCAGATGCTTGCTGAGCTGGAAGAAATCATCACATACAAACAGAATGTGGGTGACTGTGCAAAGCAGGATTCTATGCGCCAAACCTGGAACAAACGTCTGCTCGGGTGCCAGCGACATGTGGAAGTATGGCAACGCATGTTCAAGGTCAGAGCTCTTGTCACCGCCCCGCGAGAGAACCTTGACATTTCCATCAAATTCGTCAACCTTTGCCGCAAATCTGGCCGCATGGCTCTTGCGGAAAGATCTCTTGCCTCGCTTGAGAAATTTACTTCTAATGATGATGGAGCATGCACAATATCACCACCCGAGGTCAAATACGCCCGACTAAAACTCATCTGGGCGAATGGCAATCAAACAGAAGCCCTCGATATGCTCAAAGATTTCATTGCAGACTTGACTGATGATCTTTCCAAATATAACACTTCAATGATTTCACAGAATGAGCACCAGCATAACGGAATGAATGGTGTCAATGGAATGGCAGGCCCAAGTCACCTCGAAGCCTTTGGTTTGTGTGGACGAATTGGTGATGTGGACAAACTAAGAAAGCTGCTTTCTAAGAGCCACCTGAGATTGGGAGAATGGCAGACTACCCTCCAAAACGGCGATTGGCGAGCGCAGTATGTACGTAATGTTCTCAGCGCTTATTCAGCCGCCACACAGTACAATCGCAACTCTTACAAGGCTTGGCACTCTTGGGCTCTTGTCAACTTGGAAGTTGTGACGACAATCTCCAACCAAGCCAGTTGTGATGGCAAGCCTGCGCCAGTCCCCGCGAATATCGTGACAGAGCATGTCATTCCAGCTATTCGTGGATTTCTGCGATCTATTACACTGTCATCAAACTCCTCATTGCAAAATACGTTGAGATTGCTTACCCTGTGGTTTACCCATGGCGGTGATCACGAAGTTAATACTGTAGTCACCGAGGCGTTCACCAGCATTAGCATTGACACCTAGCTCGCTGTGACCCCGCAGCTTATTGCTCGAATCAACCAGCCTAACATTAGGGTTCGTTCCTCAGTCCATCGGTTACTCGCTGAGGTTGGCAAGACGCATCCTCAAGCCCTGGTCTATCCATTGACAGTGGCCATGAAGTCAAACGTGACAAGCCGCTCCCAGTCTGCTACTAAGATCATGGAAAACATGCGGCAACACAGCGCCAAGCTCATTGAGCAGGCAGATCTTGTCAGCCACGAATTGATCAGGGTTGCTGTCTTGTGGCACGAGCTTTGGCACGAGGGCCTGGAAGAAGCGTCCCGCCTCTACTTTGGCGATTCCAACGTTAAAGGCATGCTCGAAACGCTTGCGCCACTTCATGACATGCTTGACAAAGGTGCAGAAACGCTCCGTGAAGTGTCGTTCGCGCAAACCTTTGGTCGCGATCTTGCAGAAGCTAAGCACTATTGCATGCTTTACCGCCAGACCCTTGAAATTGGTGATTTGAACCAAGCTTGGGACCTCTACTACACAGTATTCCGTAAGATCAGTCGACAGCTTCCGCAACTGTCTATCCTTGATCTCAAGTATGTGTCTCCGCGTCTAAAATGCTGCTCGGACCTCGACCTTGCCGTGCCGGGAACATACCAAAGTGGTCGCCCGATCATCCGCATCATGAGTTTCGATCCCGTCTTACACGTTCTTCAAACCAAGCAGCGACCTCGACGAATGACACTCAAGGGTAACAACGGATGCTCCTACATGTATGCACTCAAGGGTCGTGAGGATATTCGTCAAGATGAGCGAGTTATGCAACTCTTCAGTCTTTGCAACACTCTCCTTGACCATGATAGCGAAAGCTTTAAGCGTCATCTTTCTGTTCAGCGTTTCCCTGCTATTCCCTTGTCTCACAGTTCTGGCCTTCTGGGATGGGTGTGTAACAGTGACACATTGCATACATTGATTAAGGAGTACCGCGAAAGCCGCCGTATCCTTCTTAATATCGAGCACCGAATTATGCTCCACATGGCACCAGATTACGATAGCCTCACTCTGATGCAGAAGGTTGAGGTCTTCGGATATGCCATGGACAACACTACAGGGAAAGACTTGTACCGGGTCCTGTGGTTGAAGAGCAAAAGCTCAGAAGCGTGGCTTGAGCGACGGACCAACTACACTCGATCGTTGGGTGTCATGTCAATGGTTGGCCACATTCTTGGCCTGGGTGATCGTCATCCTTCCAACTTGTTACTAGAGCGCATGACTGGCCGTGTCATTCACGTCGATTTCGGAGACTGTTTCGAGGTGGCTATGCACCGTGAAAAGTATCCTGAGCGAGTGCCATTCCGTTTAACTCGTATGTTAACATTCGCCATGGGGGTAAGCAACATCGAGGGAAGTTATCGTATTACCTGTGAGGTGGTCATGCGTGTTCTCCGCGAGAACAAAGACTCACTAATGGCTGTTTTGGAAGCCGTAAGTTATAGTGTCTCCCAACTGGGTCTTATATTTTATATTTCAACACGCCTAAAATATTCCTTAGTTCATCCACGACCCATTGATCAATTGGCGGCTTGGTGCTCACGATTCTCCCGATCATGTGTCTCTCACCGCAGAGCGCCACCAGTCAATCGAGGACATCAACTTTGAACACGGCGTGCAATCGAATACCTACACTCGCCACCGCCGTTCTTCTATACCGGAGGGAGGTTTTCTTGATGCCCAAGAAGGGGTTCCAGTTGAAGCACATGAGGCTCAGAATGCCCGTGCCCTAGAGGTCCTTGCTCGGGTCAGACAGAAGCTGGCTGGACATGACTTCCAGTACCATGAGGAACTCAATATTAGAGATCAGGTCGACAAGTTGCTTGCCCAGGCTACTAGTGTGGAAAATCTTTGCCAGCACTGGATTGGCTGGTGCAGTTTCTGGTGAGCTCCGTTTCATTTTGTCGGCTGGGTGCTTTCTCTTAAATTTTCTCGGCATTTTAATCTATTATAACGTGTTTCTTTACTCTATTTGCTAGAATCCCTTCTCCTCTTTGTATCTCCAATAATCTCTCTTTCTGTCGTTTTACATATTATCAGGATGAGGAACCGATACTGGCTAGTACGGAATATGTACAATGGAATCAGATGGTTCATAAAACGTGTTGGGATATAAATCCATACTTGGACGAATTGGATAAACGATAAATAGGTCTGCCCTGCAGGGTTTCTGGTGGTGTTTGACCACATCGCCTTTTGCTTTTCAAGGGTATGTCCTCTACTGCTTCTAGCATAGACCGAAAGTCCATAAATAAATTCCGACCTAGGGTGTAGCTCTAGACCTTTCTTTATTTGGGTTTAGCAGTGTTGTACCCAGTCAATCTGACAAATGGAAATCAACGCAGGACCCGGGGGGAAATATCTTTGGTGATTCTCGGAATCCGAAAAGCCGAGAGTGATGATTACTGCTCACTAAATTATGTGTTGTCATTATTAATGTATTAGCTATGAGGCGCTATCCGCGTAAATATGATCGGATTCTACTCAATAGCCCCGGAAATAAAGTGATCGGCAGCACCTTCATATCTAGTTTTCGGATTAGGAGAATTCAGCAGTCGGCTGACGGTGAGGGATGCTATGATCCGGCGCCGATTGGGCACGAAGAAATGAATTTCCACTAAGTTATGTTCCATCATAAATACACCAATGAGTTCTGATTGTCCTTCAGCTAGAGCAAAAGGGGCTCTGTAAATAGACAAAATATCGATCTGATTCTTTCGCTATTATGCTGAATGAAATATCTGGTAGTTGTAGGTTCTGGTACCCGCGGATAAAGTCGCTATTCCTGGCAGTGACCATGTTAAGAGGAGACCATTTCTGGACTTTGATTAACTTCGCCTCTTTTCTCCAAGGCTTCTGCAGCCTATGTGGGTCTTCATTTCGAACTCAAATTTGGACAACCATTTCAGGTAAGTGCCGATCAGCCGGTATTGCCACCCACTGAATTATGTAAGCTATACGTTTAGTTAACGTATTCGGTAAGCGAGTGGGCCATGTAAGCCAGTGGGCCACCCAACCCAAAACGCGTCCATGAATTAGCACTTAGTTAGTTCAACCACCCACTATGCCACCAATTCGCTCCCGATCCTCTAGCAATTCAGCAGAGCAAGAGGGTAGGATTTTATTAGCTATCCAGGCTTTTAAAAATAAAGAAATCTCTTCAATTCGCGAATTGGCGCGTCGTTTTAATATACCGCGTACAACTTTACAACGCCGCCTTACTGGTGATCTCTTTCGTCCTGAAACACGCGCCAACAACCATAAATTGACTGAAACTGAGGAGGAATCTCTTGAAAAATGGATACTCTCTATGGATCTACGTGGAGCAGCCCCCCGGCCCTCTATGGTACGAGAAATGGCAGATCTTCTGCTTCAAAAGCGTGGAACTACCCCAGTTCTTTCGGTCGGCGAAAAATGGGTATATAACTTTGTGAAACGGCGTCCTCTCCTCTCCTCTCGATTCTCGAAACGATATAATTACGAGCGCGCGAAATGCGAAGACCCTAAAATCATTAGGGAGTGGTTTGATTTGGTTCAAAAGACAATCCTTCAATTTGGAATCGATCCCGACGATATTTATAACTTTGATGAGACTGGTTTTGCTATGGGATTGACTGCAACTGCGAAGGTTATTACGAGGAGTGAATACTACGGTCGGAGGCCGGTTTTACAACCTGGAAATCGTGAATGGGTAACAGTGGTTGAATGTACGAATGCTTCTGGCTGGGTCCTTCCTCCGTGTATGATTTTTAAAGGCAAAGTCTTTATTAAATCATGGTTTGACGGCCTCCCGGGGGATTGGCGCTTCGAAGTTAGTCCTAATGGTTGGACCTCTGATGAAATTGGACTTCGGTGGCTTAAGAAGCTCTTTATTCCTAGTACTTCGCGTACGAAGGGGATATACCGGCTTTTAATACTTGATGGCCACGGAAGTCATTTAATACCTCAATTTGACGAAGTTTGCGAGTAAAATAAGGTGATACCAATCTGTATGCCTGCGCATTCATCTCATCTTTTACAACCTCTTGATATTGGTTGTTTTGCGGTGTTAAAACGTGCGTACGGTCGGATGGTTGAAACTAAGATGCGGAACGGGATCAATCATATTGACAAACTTGACTTCCTCGAAGTATACCCTCTCGCACGAATTGAAGCTTTTAAACCGGAGACTATTAAAAATAGCTTCGGGGCAGCCGGTTTAGTCCCTTTTAAACCGGAGAGAGTGATCTCTAAGCTTAATATTCGGCTTCGAACCCCAACCCCCCTCCAAGCCGGGGGAGTGAATCAAGCCGGAATTTTACGCCAAAAACTCCGTTTACAGAGAAAGATCTACGTCGACAAGCTTCGTCAATCAAAGCTTTACTTCGTACAGGATCTCGAAGCCCGCCTAGCCTATCAGATCGTGCATTAAACCAGCTTATAAAAGGCTTCCAGCTCCAGCTACAAAGTCATATTTTACAAGCGCAAGAAATCAAGGAATTACGCGCCGCCAACGAGAAGCAAAAGTAGACTGCGACATCGCCCATGGACGGGCGGGTGGGCAGTGCCCACAGGCCTTATGTAAGCGGGCGATGGGCACTATCCATACGCCCATGGGCCTTTTTAGTAAGCAGAATTTCTTGACCTCGTGACCTGCATTATTTGTGCATTTTTTTCTCTGTATTTTTGAGTAATTCGATTACATGTACAATGACTTGATACTACTGTCAATTTTCTGACCGAGGTCAGAAATGAGCTTTAGAAGCCTTTATACAACAACTTGACACATTGTCACTTTTTTGACCGGGGTCAGAAATAAGCCTTGGAAGCCTTTGCATAATGACTTAGGCATTCATTATATTCATATATTTACACTAATACGATACAAATTGATCATTATTAGGTTTGCCACGCTTCCTTGCTTCTCTTAAACCAGGGCGCTTTTGAGTGCTACCCTTATCTCCATAATGAGGGAGATGAGGACTGCTCTTATCTTCGCTGTCGACTAGCTCACTTCTCTGTCGCTTCCGCGTACTTAGCACTATAGAAGGACGAGGAAGCTGACTCTCCATCATAAACTCATACTCGATCAGTCCAACAGGATCATTATCCTCGGAATCCTCACTATCGCTGATTGGTTCAGGCATGTCAGTGGTAAGCTTAGCCTCTCTCTGTTCGTCTGCTTCTTGCATTGAATCCAAGGACGTATCCTCATCGGGTAGTTCTTCTATTTCAATGTCGAACTGGGTTTTATACCGGAACATTATGATATCCTGGACTGTCTTCGTACTCAGCCGCCCACGTCGGTAGTGGCAGACATCCCGTGCTAAATTGAAAAGACGTTCAACTCTAGCGCCTGTTGCAGGAATAGAGAGAATGTCGCGAGCAACACTGGAAAGAATTGGGAATTCATTACCTGGTCGAAGTTCTCCCAGACATCTAATATGTGTTTTGCATCCTATCGTAGCCTTTGTTGTGTCTCAGTACTGCTGCCGCGTACTGTGGTACGCCACCACTCGATAAACTTTACTTTGGACGCGTTGTTCATCGCGTCGTAGAGGATAAACTGCTTTCTCCGATCGGGGCCGACGCGTTTGAGAGAGCAATCAAGAATAGCCGGTTGAGTGAACTCGGACTCTATCAGTGAGATAGAAGTCTGTTGGCTGTTGAAGAGACTGGGATCAATATTTGGATTAAGGTTAGGATCAAATATATCGGCGACGTAGGAGAGGTCTGGTTGGGAGCTCGGAGGAAGTGAAGAAGGCCCTGCGGTATAGGCACTAGGTTGGGACATGGTTAATGTGATGTAAGGGATAATATAACGACTATAGGAGAGTGAGTGATCTGAACTTACAATAGGTAACTTGCGACCGTGTGAAACGAGGATTACTAGTAAAAGGGGTGCTTTGTATAGATCTGATAGATCGTAAATTGAGTGTAGACCCACTATATATTATAAGCTGATTGGCTATAAGTGTCTTTGTCCATGGGCATGCCCGTGGGCACGCCCGTGGGCACGCCCATGGGAACATACCTAAACGCCCATCTTGAGTTACAATCGAAGGATTTAAAACTCCCAGAATAATAACACAAGTCTTTGAGTGATATAATTGACAGAATTTAGTGATATAAGCTTATAAAATAAGAATTATACTAATTATCTTTCGATCTACCTATGAGAAATATACTAGAGTGAGAGATAAAGTAGAATCCATAAGTAGTATTTTACTTATAGAAAATGCCAGGCATGTACCACTGACTTAAATATATATCTTCAAGCTGTTACAGTATGATTTGATAAGTTAATAAAAATACCACACAATATGATGTATTTCGATTAAAATTTTATTCCAATTCGTATCATATATATACTAGTTTCTCATATACATAGATATTTCAGTAAAATTTATAGATGTTGTAGATTAAAACTGCCATTTTACATGGAGTTGGCAAAACAGGTGTAAATAACAGTTATTTATTATGCAAAGTCAGCGAGTTATACGTCCATTTTGGGTGACTTTATGCAATGGTGGGCATCGTGGGCATGCCCGCCGTGGGCATGCCCGTGGGCCTTGGGCGTTATGGACGGGCACTCGAAAATCCAAATAGCCCAAGGCCCACCGTGGACGGGCCTTGGGCACCTCCTAGGTGCCCATGGACGGGCGATGTCGCAGTCTAAGCAAAAGCAAAAGCGAGGCAAATCCCGGAGTCAGATACAGGTAGAAGCAGGCCTTACAGTACAGGAAGCTTCTCAATTGGATACTGAGCCGGTGGAAGCAATTAAAGCACCTCCCTCCCCTCTACGAAGAAGCCCTTCGCCGGCTTTACAACCACGTACACGGGCCCCGCCAAAGTGTAGTGGTTGTGGTGAAATAGGACATAAGATTAATAGATGCCTAGCTAGATAGA